ATATATATATAATTATTTTAATTATATAATTATTTTAATTTTATTATTTGCATAAACTCTATATATACTTCCATATAATTGAGCAAAAAGTATTGTATACCTTTGTAGGAAAGTCTCGTTTTAGTTCAGTGATACTGCCACACCAATAATCGACGGTTTTCTCGGATATCAACTCGATATTCAAGAAGCTACCCTGCTCAGGTCCATAATGATGACGAGACATAGTGCCTTTGACAATGCGCGGCGATACATTGGTAACGAGATCCTGTGACGAAATATTTTGGAAATAAAATATTATGTTGGAAATAAAATATTATGATTCGGCGATAGTTCTTTATGAAATGAAATTGGACCTTGTCCAAGGAAAAAGTTTTTGTGATTGCAAAGGCCCAGCCGGCTTCAAAAGCTCGCCGGATCATTGCGCTGGAGGTGCAAGGTGGTGCAGAAGCAAGACCGAAAGGATTCTCGAATTTTATTCCACATATCTCAACACTGAGGTCAACATTGTCAACGGCGGTGTGGAACTTTGGTAATTGTGGAATTTCTGGTACCGCAAAGTCATAGAATTCCTACACAATATAAAAATTAAAATATAAAATAACATTATGTCACTTGAATATATGTACGATTTTACCTAATTTTACACTTTCGCGACAATCTATAAAGAATTGGAAATCTATAAAGATTTTGTTGATGACAATTAATGAAGAGAAAATTTTTCACAGATTTTTCATACAATTTTTCAAATTTGTTCACAGAATTTCTAAGTTTATAACTTTCTTACATTATTTATACGAATTAGAACACTTTTTAGAAAAATTTACAAGTAACACTATCCAAGTGTCATGCACCGATTTTCCTGAGACTGTGCGGTGATGCTCTCAATTTTTAAGAATTCAATATGATAGAATCAATATGGCGGATTTGATTTCTTTTAATGAAGCAAGACATTCTCGCTTTCTGCCGAACCCGGGAATAACGTAGAGGTGACGAGAAACTATTCCTTTTTTAATTTTTTGTTTTTTTTTATTTTTTGGATTTAAAAAAAAACAAAAACAAATAAAAAACAAAAAATTAAAAAAGGAAATAATTTCTCGTCATAGTTTCTCTCCACGTTGATTATTCTCGAATTCGGTAGAGAGCGAGAATGTCTTGCTGTTTTCATTTAAAAAAAATCAAATTCGCCATATTGATTCCATCATATTGAATTCTCAAAAATGCAGATTTGGATTCAGCAATTTCGAAAATCACCGTATACCCCATTCTGTAACAAACGTACGAGAGTACTTCGTCAACTACTGGAATTCACTCCTATACATTCATAAGGGCGCATTTTCTATCCTTATAACAGCTTTCAAATATAAAATAATACGTGTTAGATATTTTTCATGTACTACATGTATGCATAGTCTCAAGAAAATCGGCGTATGGCATTTGGGTAGTGGTACTTGTCAGAAGATCTACATCTCTTCTCAAAATTATTTATATGTTAATGAAATATCCTAAGGTTTATAAGAAGTTTAGGAAAAAGTATCGATTAGAAAACCAAATTTGACCTTGACATATATTGACCTTGACATATATTGTGACATATATCATATAATCCTGAATGATCTCTAACAAGATTTAGTCATCGCTCATCCTTCGTTAAAAAACATAGCTTCGTTAAAAAGTTAGAAACAAAAGATGTTTTAAGAAATAATCGTCTCATTTCTGCTATACAAAATCAAATTTTTTACTTCCACCCCATTTCCCCCCCCCCCTGCTTGGAAGCTCACGACTTTCACCCGAAGCGACTCTCACTCTACTTCCCCCTCCCCTCTCCCTGCTAATGAGGTGGCGAGAAACTACTTGTCTAGTGACATTGCGTGTGTCAAAGCAAAAATGGTCGTTTTTGCTTTACTGAATAACTCGGTGAAAAAATTGTATAGAAGTCTATAAAAACGTAAATTAAAGGTAAAGATTCACTCTTTCGAAAACTGCAAATCCCATTTGTGTGTAATTTTTATTGATGCCATAGAACTTCGTAAATTTCGTAAAAAGTTTTGAGATTTTATGCATCTTCATTTATATTTGTGTAACTTCATAATATCCGTTTTATACCGTTTTTTGAAGTACTGATTTAAAAAATAAAGATTTCAAGCTTTAAAATCTTTTTTAAACGACTCGCTATGATGATTTTTTACTGAGTTTGCTATTTGAAGATATTAAAAATTTATGGCTAAAATTTAGTGGCTCATTTTTTTGGCCTGTGAGTGTTTCCAAATAATTTTTAATAATCCTATTTCCAAATAACTTCTTTGCTTTACAAACATGCAGTAATTCATTATTTTAAAATAAATTTATTGCTTTAAACAGACAAATTCTTCGTATTAAAAACAATTTTCTGCTAAAATGAACTTGTGTTCACGTGGAAAATCACTAGGCAATAGGGGAGGTGGAATGCAATAGGTGGATAAAATTTAGAATAGTTTCTGATGTTATATATAGCCGAAATAAGATGTTATTTTTTCAAACTTTTTTTGTTAATAACTTTGTAATGAAGGACATGCGATGGCTAAAACTTGTTAGAGGTCACTCAAGGTCATGGCCTGAACAACATACATCAAGATCAAGGTCATTGGAGCTTGGTCCCTTAATCGATACTTTTACCGAATTTTATTGTCAGTATAATTCCTGATTCTGATAAAATGTTATAAAATCTAAAAAAATCAAAAATATTTTTTTAAATTATAGAATGAAAAAATATCAGAATATTTCAGATGAAAAATTCTAAGAGAAGAGTAAATTTTCCGAATATTTCTGAGTATTTCTGAAAAATATTCCGATTTATATAAAGCTATGAGAACAATTTTCCAGATATTATACTATATCTGTACCAAACACACCTGTATGTATTTGTGAATGTACCATGCAGCAGTCTTTCCATCATTCACGGATTCCACAGTAGTCTGGGAAACACCCGCAAGGTCACCTCCACAGAATACACCTGGTACCGAGGTCATCATCGTAGTCTTATCTACTTCCGGTAGATTCCATTTGTTCATCTTAACCGGTATCATAGCACGCTTCACTATTTTTATAATAGAAAGAATTTGGTAATTATTTGGTTTAACAGATATCACGCCGGTTTTCTTGATCTCGACAATGTTGTCAAGATCATGATCTTAAGTAACTTTCAAAAGCTTTAAGGTGGCAATAACTATTCGTTCAAAAGTTATTAACAAAAGTTAAAAAATATTGTCTTATTTCTACTATATATATATATTAAAAAATATTCCATACCCTTCCTGTCTAGGAGCATTCGATTTTTCATATGAAGGAAAGTTCACCTTATTTCTCCCTGTCTAGGAACGCTTTCCACGCGAAACGAAGTCCCTCTCCCCAGCCAAGGGGCGACTGATTTTCTCCTAAGAGGGGGGAGGAGGAGTGATGGAGTAGATGTTTCTTCGCGTGGAAAGTCGTATTCCGTTAGTATATAGCAGAAATAAAACAATATTTTTTAAATTTATTTATTAATAATTTTTGAACGAACAGTGATCGCCCTCTATATTTATAGGTCACTTAGAGTTATGATCTTGACAACAGTGAGAGTAAAAAGTATTCGTACAAAGAAATTTTTTATAAAAATAGTGTTATTTATAGAAATAAATTTAATTAACTTTTAATTAATTAAATTTTAATTAATTAACAATTTTATACAATGAATACATTCTGATCTAACATAAACAAATAAGCTTCGCATGTATTTCTGATTTTAAAAACTTTTCTCGACTGTACGAATATTTTTTGAGCATCCAAACAATACAATTTCAATTTTTGCTTATTTTTCAGATGATATATTTTCTATAATTAATACACATCTTTTTGATATACTAGTGTATTTCTTTGCTCGATATTTTTCGACATCGTAGAAATCGCAGCGCACATAAATCTTCACTGACATAAATAACTGTCATTCTCAAACGATTTGAAGGAACGCCACGATTTTTTTATCAAATGTGAAGAACATGTGTATCAACTTAGTAAAGCAAACGGATTTGATGTATAGTTTTCCGTAATTTTTAAAAAATAAACTTCGAATACTTTTTAATCACACAATATGTAATTTTAAAAAATATAGAATCTATTTTATTTTTTATGAATAAATTGTTAATTAACAAGAAACGATTTAATTTAATTTAATTTATTTTGTTTGTGCATTACAAAATAAACAAACAACATAGCAACTACAGAGTGCTACATCCAGTGGATGTAACACTCTGTACTCCACAATTTCTTCATCTCGCGAACGTTTGATCAATAAAGTAAGGAACGAACAAATACAATCGATAATACAAATCCGAAGGAAGTTTCCAACCGAAAAATTATATTTATTTAGAATCAAGTAATCTGCAATAAAAAATTTCTTATAGCATTAACGCATTAAATTTCCTTTTTTCGAGCATCGTAGAAAAGAAAACCATTATCAAATAATCATCAAATAATCATTATCAAATCGCGGTGGTAACAAGATGCTAAACCGGACCACGAAACGATCTCCACGATATCGCGGACAAAAGAGAAGATGAAATGTTTAATCATCTCACACTGATATCACGCGGGTCCAATGATAGTATAGGCTTAAAACAGGATCATAAATTTAATAATGACATTTTCCGATATTGGGAAAAATCAACACAAACTGCGACTTTCGATTAACTAAATCCAGGAATATTTGCTCATCGCTTAAGAGCAGTTTGATAAAATGCAGATGATTTTTCCCATTTATAACTGATGATAAAAAAAGAAATCGACAACCCACACATATTCTCCCCCTACAACGAAACTCATCAATAAGAAGTAAAACTAACTAGAAGAAAACTAAATAGAAGTAAAACTTACAGTGCGAGTGGAACTAACTTAAGGGCAACTATCTAATGACTAGTTAAAATTTGTTATCATACCAAGAAAGAAAGAATTCCATGAACTTGATTCCTCGATTTTCTGATTAGATCCTACCAAAGAACCACCTCCAAAAAATTGTCTATATAAACCGCAATGCGAGACACAAATAGAGAAAAAGGAGCACGAAGAACAAGAGAACGAAGAGAACAAGAGAATAAAGAATGAAGAACAAGATCAAGAATGATAAAATTTCAAACTCGCGCTTACGTAATTAGGATCTGTGCGTGATTTTTGCAATCGGATGAACATCATTAGCTTTTCGGTTCTCGACACCTGGTATAAACATTCCAACAGCAGAAATTTGTAAGTCTCTTATTATTATCATTATTATTTTATTTTTCTCCGAAATTAAACTAGCTCACTGAAGAGAGCAAATAATTCATTGGTTCAAAATAATTTTTTATTAAATTTTCGAAAAATGTTTTCAAAATCGACGGAATCAACGGAACAAGTATCTCCTTCTGTTCTCGTTCCCATGATTAGTCCTTATTATGTAATTTTTTTGTGACTTTTCCTTTCTCTTCTTGTACCATTAATGAAATTCGATAAATACAATATAATTATAGTTATATTAGGTGTACAATTTTGCTTCCGCCGTTTTTTTTCCGAAATTCGAGGCTTTATTGTAAAAAACTGGTTATACATTTATGATTCAAAGTATTGTCCATCGCTGGCCACTACTTTCTCCCATCTTTCGGGTAGCGTACGAATCCCGCGTCGAAAAAACTGGTCATCTTTTGAGGCTATCCACGAATCGATCCAATTTTTTACTTCTTCATAAGACCGGAAGTGCTGGTCAGCCAGGCCGTGTGCCATTGATCGAAACAAGTGATAGTCAGAGGGAGCAACGTCTGGAGAATACGGCGGATGGGATAGGACTTCCCATTTCAACGTTTCCAAGTATGTCTTGACCACTTTCGCAACATGGGGTCGAGCATTGTCATGTTGCAAAATCACTTTATCGTGTCTCTCGTTGTATTGCGGCCGTTTGTCTTTCAATGCTTGGCTCAAACGCATCAATTGCGTTCGATACCGATCGCCTGTGATTATTTCAGTCAATTTTAACAGTTCATAATACACTACGCCGAGCTGGTCCCATCAAATACAGAGCATGACCTTGGAGCCGTGAATATTCGGTTTGGCCATCGACGTGGAAGCATGGCCGGGAACTCCCTGATTTTGAATGATTTTCTGTACTTGGGATTATCGTAATGAACCCATTTTTCGTCCCCAGTCACAATGCGATGCAGAAATCCCTTCCGTCTTTGCCTTTCAAGCAGCTGTTCACAAGCAAACAAATGCCATTCAACATCTCTCCGCTTCAATTCGTACGGCACCCAATTTCCTTGCTTCTGAATCATTCCCATGGCTTTGAGGCGTTTTGAAATGGCTTGTTGAGTCACTCCCAATGATCGTGCTAATTTTTCTTGATTTTGACACGAGTCTTGCTCAAATAATGCCTCCAATTCTGCATCTTCGAAAACCTTCTCTCTTCCACCGCTGTGCCGGTCTTCGACGTCAAAATCACCGTTCTTGAAGTGTTGAAACCATTCACGACACATTCTTTCACTAATAGCGGCCTCATCATAAGTATTTGAGAGCATTCGATGAGCCTCAGCCGCAGATTTCTTCATATTGAAGCAAAAAATTAAAACCTCCCGCAAATGATGAGAATTTGGCTCGTAAACTGACATTTTCAATCGAGAATAACTTTATGATGCAGACACAAATTGACTAATGTTTCTATGGGGTTGTTGAGATGTCCAAATTTATTGTATGACGTCTATGATCTATTTATTTCGATCACCACTTACCGCTAAAGTCATCTATAGGAAAACGGCGGAAACAACGTTGTACACCTTCCAGTTGATCTCCTTCCGCCCTGTGATTTTCTTTCGGAAGTCACTCATTCTCATACGCGCGCGCGCATCACACACACACGCACGCACACACACACGCACACACACACGCACGCACACACACATTCTCACGACATTTTTTGTATTTAATATTTATGTCCGCATCAATGTTTGCAAACATGTTCTTACACACATACATTGCAATTTTCACTCCACTCACTCCGTTAGTTAATAAGCACCAGATAACTTTTTAATTTAAAATGTAAGAAGCTATTGTATTCTAAAATTATGTAAATTCTTGATATATAATTGAATTTTTTTATTAATAAATATACACTACTCGCGGAAATTAAAGCATCACCTCTTATTGCCTTCGAAAAATTGATAAATTTTTAATGAGTGTAACCAAAAATGGCCAAAATGAAACGTTTAAAAAGCATTTTGTAGCTTAAAATCTCTATTTTCCAAATCTGTACTTAAAATTCGATTCGACTGATTATTTACGAAACTACATTACAAGAAGAAAGATCCGTAAAATCGTAAAATGTTTTGTGAGCTTTGCACACAGTTTCATGCCAAATGAGAAGTAGGGGCACAAATACAATTCACAACTTTTAAAAGCGTGAATCTTTATCTTTAATTTGCTTTTTTTATTGATCTCTGTAGGATTTTTTTTTTACCGAGTTATTCAACATTGCTAAATGGTCCTTTTAACTTTGACTGCTTATAAAAGATGAATGAAGTAACGTACAATATTCGTTACAAAAGAGAAAAAAAGTTCAAAGTTTTCTCTTTAAGGTACTTTTATCATTTTTTACACACAAATAAGCTTTTTATGTAAAAATTTAAGTGAAAGATGAAGTTGCAAACTAAAACAATTATCCGTTTTCATTCAGCTCGATTAAAATAAGAAAGAACCCTATGACGTTAATGTAATTTTACACTTTAGAGTCTACTGAGATCAAACAAAACGATTGCGACATTTTTAAACTAATGTTCTTCATGTTCGAAATTATGATTAAAACGGCATTCGCTGTATTGAATTTACTAATTTTAATATCGTATCAGGCGATTACCGCTGGTATACGCTTAGCGTTATCCGAAGCGTAGGTTGGTCCTACGTGGAGGTTGCACAGTGGATTTACGCTTCGTGTGTGTGCGTGCATATATGTGATAAAAAGATTAAGTTTTTAATATGAGGTATTGTTGCTTCTATTATAAACGTCTCTTAAACGTTGGTGAATGTTTATGCATCGTCGGATCACTA